CTATCCAATAGAAATACTAATATATATAATCCAATAATAATTAATATAAATCTTATCCAATAAGATTGTTCGTTAAAAGTCATATCATGACAATATGCAATGGTACTGTACGAACCCTCTTAATAACAACAATCACCAGATGAATAATCAACCAAACTGACAACCAACTTATAATACAAATTCAGCCTTTGAAAGCAATGACTCCTTTGCACCAACCAAGATAATCCCAAGTCTAGCCCCAGTCACGAATAATAACTATTTGACTAATACTAATACACTACTCTCACAGATTCAAACGCTTATGACTGCTTTACAGGCAACTCAAACACCTCAAGCTAATGTTCCTGATGCATCGACATCATCACTCTTGGCAACGCACGACTATATGGTAGGAGGATGCAAACGAGCAAGGCTGGAATGAAAAGATGATGCACAAAATGATACAGATCAAACTATCGAGCGGAATGACAAACCTATAATCGATCAAAATCCAGTGGTAAGTAAACTCAAAGATAAAAAAAAGAAAAAGAAAACCAAAATTGAACTACCTGTGTTAGCATCACACGTTGTTCCTTACGATATCCTAGACGATCTCGCTACCACCAAGACCAACATCATGATCGCCCAACTCATCAAGGCCTCTCCAGAACAACGGATAAAAATGTCAAAAAGAGATGAGATGATCTATTAGAAGGAAGACTACAAGGAGGACTATGGGAATGGTTAGTCATACTAAGAAAACTACCTCAGCTTGGTGCGAAGCCAAAATCAGAACGATATCCATTGATCTCATTATAGACACTGAAGCTTCGGGATGTGTAGTCAGCCACGACTTCTTGAAGAAGCACAACATCAAAATCCAACGAAAGTCATACATTACTATGACTGATATTAACAGACTGTCAAAGCAACCTCTCAGAGCGATCGATGACTTCCCGATCACAGTCGACGGAATCATAATTCCAGCAGAAGTCAATGTGACCGAGGCAAGAACATTCAGCGTATTGGTTGGCATAAATTGGTTAAAAAAGATAAATGTCAACATCGACATTAAAAAGGGAATAATGACATTAGAATGGGATGGGCAAAAAGCAAAAATTGCCGTTAAATACATACATGGTCAGAAGAATCCAGTCATTATCGAATCTGATACTATTGACTCCGAGCTCTCTGACGATGAGTTATCTGAAAATGAGTACAAAATCGAAGAACAACAATTAGAAAATCGTAATTTTCTATGTTGGCATTCTAATGACTTCTGGACCAGAATTCAGACACCCATCAGGACAATTGATGAAGTGGATTTTGGAAGGATCCTCACTATATAATTGAAAAAATACCAAAGATTAGAAATGTACAGATTTATAAAGAAGGAATTCAGATAAAGAACACTATAACTACCTGGGACGAATACACACACCTCCAAGCGAAATTTGATCAAACACACTATCACAATTCCTGATGAAGATTCGACTGGAAGGGACTGGCTGAATGTTAATGTCGACAGAAACTCACAAGCTCAAAGCAAGAGTGTCAAAAATTTTACCAGGAGCTCACTACTTGGGTCAATATAAAACTTCAGACCCCTAAAAATCTCTTTATGATCCTCGCTGATGGCTCACCTAAGGATTGGTGAATGGAAGTGGAATATCAATGACTCTCCGATAAAATTCCTCCTACTAAAACCAAATTTCAAACCAAACAGGTCACTCTTGCCTATTTTCAACTCGAAAAATGAACAGCACGGTATTTCGGTTGCAAATATTATGTGGATGAAGTAACGGTGAGATCAATAATTGAACAAAATAAATCCAAGAACTTGTATTGTGAGGATTGCATTCGAAAAGGAAAGCTTAACCTTCAGTATGCACCTAATGTGAATCTCATGCCCCTGCAGCTGAAATGTATGGTATTGGTGAATATCGTCTGACGAGATATTTTTGCTCTTATCTGGAGCAATGTATCTACGCATTCGATCACAACGGCTGGAGAAAGAATAGTGACACGATTCAAAAATTACGTGAAGAAGAAAATTTACTCACAGTATACCATGAATGTAATGAAATTGAAAAAGCGATTCTATCTCGCTACATTACTGAATACGATGTGAAAAATGAAATACAATATATTGGTTATGACAGATCTGAAGAAGCCTCCGCAGCCGAAATCTTCACATCGATCTATCAGTAACTATCTCCAACATGACGTCTACAATTGGTCTGATTAGAATATATCAATATTAAACTATGTTTCAGTTGCCTGATTCTGTGTAATTCCAAACAGTATGACGGCTGTAGATGAATGTTGGAACCAGTCGAGAGAATTGACAAGAGAAAGGTCAAATTTAATTTAGTACCCCAGGCAACCGAAAATAAAATTGAAACCAAAGTCGATGACATCCAAAGAGTGGATGAAACCCAATTGCAGAGCCACAAAACCGGAGACACCTTCCACTCGAGTAGTCAGTCGACTGGCAAAGAAGCCAATGAAAGAAATAGCATAAAAATTCATGAAGAACAAGCTAACAATGCAAGAAATGTTAATTACCTCATCAAGGTATATGATAACGAAGGAAAGGGAAAGTTGCCCGAATGAGCACATATCACGGATGTCAGCTTCGATTTATGAAATCTGAGCGAACAAGTTATTCGCATCAATCCGAGCCAAACTATTATAATCGATCTTCATATTGTCTTCGAGATCCCATCCAGCACCATCTGTCAACTGATGTCCTGATCTTCTTTGGTAAAACAAGGAATTGAGGTGAAGAGCAGAATGATTGATGCCAGATACATGGGAGACATTAGAGTGCTATTATACAACAACTCAACTCAGCCTACGACATCCAATCAAACGAATGAATAGTCCAAGCAGTGTTCCTAAAGTTAGCCAAGGTCACCAAAATACGAGTCATTCTGACAAGAAAAGAATTGGGAGAATCGAGTCAAGGAAGCACTAGTTTTGGATCCACAGGTCGTAATGAAATAGAAGCATACTTCCTGAATAAAGATCAGAACAAGGAAATGATTGAACAAAGAAAACTAACTCCACAATAAACCAATTAACTTAATAAACTATTAGATATATATTGAGGGATTTTTGCCACTGTCACAAGTTCCTTGGGCTCAGTTAGGTATTCTCGTAACGTAGGTGTTCAATCAATGTCTATTTCAATAATTCGGCGATTCGATTCAGTTGCTTTAGGATCGTGACGCAATGCGACTTCTTCTATTCTATTAATCTAGAATAGGAAACACTACTACTAATAAATATTTTCCTTTGTATTTACTTAGTGTAATGATGGTTCTATAGCAATACAGTACTGATATTCTATAGCAACCTGGTTGAATGTCCAGTAGTGTATAAGGTAAGTGTTATAACAATTTTGATAATTATAAAATCAATTAATATACAATTTTATTAAACAATAAACAAAAAGCAGTTTATTGACTAGCTAAATTTTGTATTGATCAATTAATGCCTTTTGGTTTATCCAAAAGGTCCTTTATTTATATAAAATAATTTATGGTTAAGTTATTACAATGTGAAATATATTATACATGTTGGATAAATATGATATAGTAGATAATGTTGATATGTCTGAGAACTCTGCTATCTCTGCTATCTCTACAATCTATGTGGAGTCACATGATCAAAATTAAAAAATTAAGGAATTAAGAATAATTCTGGGCCGTAAAACTGCTGACATGATCGAGTTAAGATGAATGAACCTAGTGCGACATCAAATCGATACTGGTGATGAGAGACTGATCTGACAAAGAGCTTATCGAGCCACTTTGCCGGATCAGGAATTTATTCATGATGAAGTGCAAAGAATGCTGAATGCCAGAATCATACGACGATCCAACAGTCCCTGGATTTCACTTATCATCATAGTCAGTAAAAGAGATGGGAAGAAACGATTCTGCATTAATTATAGAAAAATTAACAACATTACAAAAAAGGACGCGTATCCCTCACCTAGGATTGATGAAATGTTGGATAATCTGGATCATGCCAAATGGTACTCATTGTTAGATCTCACCAGCGGGTACTGGCAAATCGGTATGAACAAACGAAGCATCAAAAAGACCACTTTTATCTCCAGGGAAGGTCTCTATGAGTTCAATGTAATGCCGTTTGGACTCTGCAACGCTCCCGCGATCTTTCAATGAATGATGGATGCAATGCTAGATGATTATAACTAAAAGTTTACGATGGCTTATATTGACAACATAAATATATACTCTGAAAATTTCGAGAATCATCTGCAGCACCTGGAGAAAACATTTCGACGAATTGGAGTAGCTGAACTTAGATTAAATTTAAAGAAATGCAATTTTGTCAGAAAAAGTCTACCATTCCTGGGACACATCATCACCGAAGAAGGAATTTCGACCAATCCATCCACAGTAAAAAAACTCCAAGAATTCCCACAACCACGTACAGTTAAATCACTTCGTTTATTTCTCAGATTGGTCGGATACTATCAGAAGTTTGTAAAGGGCTTTTTCCAAATCACTATCCCTCTATTCCGCTTACTGAAGACTGATATTAAATTCATTTGGGGAGAAAAACAAGAAGAGACTTTCGAAGAATTAAAGAAAAGACTTATCTCGGCCCCGATACTGATGTATCCCGACTTTACCCAAAAATTCTATCTTTACACGGACACTTTCAACACCAGATTAGGAGCGGTATTGTCACAAAAAGATGATCAAGGTCAAGAACGTGTAGTCATCTACACCAGTGTCTCGCTTAAATCTGGAGAAAAACGTTATAGCGTAACCGAGAAAGAAGCATTAGCTGTTGTATGGGAAGTATGCCAGTTCTGTCACTATTTGCTCGGAACACTCTTTGAAATTATCACAGATCACAACGTGCTCTGATGGTTGTTCACCAAACAAGTTAACCCAGAACCACGCGTTTTATGATGGATCATGAATATGTTAGAATATACGTTCACCGTCACTTATCGCCCTGGTAAACTAAACCAAAACGCAGACGCACTCTTTCGAATCGGTCAACAATAGGAACCCATCCAGATTAATAAGACGTGAACAAAATCAACAATAACAAAAACACAAAAAATAATAATAAAATAAAATAAATAAATAATAATAACTAAAATTAGAATCATTAATACAATAAATACAAAAGAAAAATGGACTTAACCACGTATTTCGATCTCTTACGGTACCTGGAAAATGAAAGTTATCCTGTAGGATATAATGAGGATCAGCAGAAAAGAATCTGAAATCAAGCCAAACACTTTATAATTCAGAATGAGCTACTATTTAAAATAAACTGACAAAAGGAACCCAACAACCCTTTGCACGTACTCAAGAAGACCAAAATTAAAGCAATAATCGAAAATCTACACGCGGACCTGCTATCCGAACATTTCGGCTATGAAGGAATGTACCAATGAATTGCAATTTGTTACTGGTGGAATAACATGGAAACTGATATCAAAGACTTTGTAAAGTCTTGTGAAGCCTGCCAGCAAACTGGTGGATGCGTAACCAAACAATCGCTGCATCCAATTAAAGTGAACCAGCCTTTCAATTAAATCGTCATCGACCTAGTTGGGCCCTGTAAAATAACAGAAAGAGAAAATCGTTACATAGTAGTGACTATCGATTATTTGACCAAATGGCCAGAAGCCAAAGCCATACCAAATAAAGAAGCCTCCACCGTCACCTGATTTATCTTTGAAGAAATCATTTGTCGACACGGTTGTCCTAAGGAAATACAATCCGACCAAGAAACAGAATTCACAGCCTCAATCATCGAAGAATTAACATGAACCTTCAATATACAGCACAAGTTCTCTTCTCCATACCACTCCCAGACGAACAGTATAGTAAAATGATTCAATCGAACGCTCTGTACGGTCTTGCAAAAATATTGTATCACATTGGAAAATGAGTGAGATGTGTATATTCCAGCTGCCCTCTTTGCCTACTGAACATTAAGGAATTCAATCATGCGTCATGAACTATTCTTCTTGATCTATGGACGCGAAGTTAGACTATCCATCAAATTACAATATGAAACCTATCAAGAAAACGATACTGGCTTCGAAGACCAAATGGAAAAATGAATCTTTACCTTGATCTATAAATTGCCTGCCTGAATTCAGGATGCTCAGTAAAATATAGACAAAACCCAGCAAAAATCCAAATTGCGCCACGACCAGAGACTTCGTAAAGTCACCTCTTCGAAATTGGTGAAAAAGTGTTGATCTATGATATGGCACAACACGTCAAGCATGGAGATAAGTTCAAACCACAATGGAATGTTGAATGGTATTACATTCATGAGTCCTATAGTAACAATACCTATAGATTGCGAAATCAACATGACCAACTACTAAAGAAGGCTTTCAACGGGCGCAGCTAAAAAAATATCATGAATGGACATGACTAGAACATTCTGAATAATGCTATGAACAAACGAGAACTCTATAAAAAAAAAGAAGGGAGAAGGAAAAGAAAGTTAATAATAGCAAACAAATTAAGGATGGTTGCCGAAATGACGTTATCTAATTAAATAATTTGCCAAAATTAACTTGCTGAAATTAAATCTGAAATTATTATGACTTATTTTATTAGTAGCCAAAATTGTTTTCTGAAATTATTTGGATTCTACAAATCAAAACAAGCATTTCTAGGTGGTTTTTAAGTATTCATTAATATAAGCAACATAGCAAAACTGAATTATTTGCCGAAATATCATTTTTTCCAAAAATAATTTAGGAGACCATCTTTAAAACAAATAAAATGGTGATAATTATCCCAATCAAGTAAAATCTAACACTTGAATCACGAACAAACAAACAAACATTAAACACGTGTACAACAATGATGATTGACAAAACTGTCAAATATAAGAATACGAATTCTACAAAAAAAAAAAAAGAAGAGAGAGAGAAGAGGAAGAAATGGATCAAGCAAACCACAACTGGCAAAAAGAAGTCATAACTTCTACCTTCCACCTGGCCCAATTATTACAGGAGCACCAATTCCAAAGAGCCATCACGATGATGTCCAACCAAATCCTGATCAGCAAGGACGAACAAATGAGGATGATCGAGATTGATAACAATCAACTGATGAATGATTTGACTGATAAGTCAAGTAGATCATCATTCATTAACAAAATTATAATCAAAATTAGGAATTTGCCTGACGAAGAGCTCAAATTGGTGTACCAATTCAACCCAACCAATGACTGGGAACATCGAGTCCAACACATTAGCACTGATATTACTCAACACAAAAGCGATGGTTACCTACAACTCCAAAAATATTATCAACTTGGAGAATTATTCGATAAAACACCAAGAAAATATTGATGAAAATTACAAACCCTAAAGTTCAAATTGCGCCGGCAACATCACATTTCATCTCCAGATCGACACTACCAGATTGCGAAACATACATATCAAATATTCGAGAATCATTACGCGAAGATAAATGAACATCTAACGTTAATGCCAAACGACGTATTCAAGCTATGAATTTCAAAGATTAACGAAATTTCACGATGAATTTAACCATCTTACAGGAGCTCGACTCTTTTTTTGATGGGCTAGATGTTACCAGATTAAGAATAATTTCACTAATCTCTCAATTTTGGTAAATTCGCCTAACCTGATTTTGTTAATTTAATTTTGCTTTGAAATTCTATTTTTATTTCGCTTTTGTTTTATATTTTTATTTCACTTTTGTTTTCTATTCTAAATTCGCTTTTGATCTTGCTCTTGTTTTCTATTTTTTTTTTCAATCTTAAAATCTCTCTTAAACAATAGAGTATATTATGCAGTGAGTTCCGAAACAATACTTCATAATGTAACCAAAAATATGTATATATAATCCTCGTGGATATTAATAAAAATACAGAATTAAATTGCGTACAATTCTTCTTCAAGTAAATTAGACTTGTAAAATTATTATAATTGATTGTGATTAGATCCTTTAGTCCAGAAAAGGTGTTGATATTGTTAAACGACATATTGATTAATTAATTGAAAAAGCGCTTTGTGATTAAACAGTTTAAGACTTTTAGCTAGAAAAAGCAACGATTGGAAGTTAATAAGAAGAATATTGTCAATAACCCGTTACGTAAAAACTTAAACCCAAAAACATCTTACCTACAAACTGACCCAACTAAACTCCTCTCTTTACCGTCATACTGAATGATATCTGTAGATATCAACATGGGAATTAGAAACGTCTGAATACTACTCAATCTAATTACTTTCTCCAACCCATTGTTATAGGCAAAATCATCAATTACGCTTAATCACGATCAACCCGTGACAATATTGTTCTTATTAATTCAAAAATTGTTAAAATTAATAAATAATATAATAATAAAAGAACAAAAACTAAATAAATTATGATTAATAGGATTTACTAAAGATTTTAAAGATCTTTTATGATAGCTTGTATACAAATTAACTATTTAATAATAATAAAAGATAAAAATAAATAAAAAATTAAAGTGAAAATATAAAAAGAATTAAAGAAATTAACAAATAACTTTAAAGTAAATAACAAGACTTATTGATAATACCTAATAAAATAAAATAAGTTTTTACTAGTAATATTTTATTTGTAAATATACTATTATTTTTGTGAATTATCTTCAAATCTTGGAATTACAAGTAGTGAATGCTTCTTCACTCTAAATAAATCATTAACATTATTGTTTTTGTTTATTTTAGTTTATATTTTTAGATAATTTCAATAAGTTCTATTTGATTATTGTTAGTTATTTTTATTTATATTTTGTAATTGGTACTCTAATAAGTCTAATTATTTATTATTTATTAAATAAAAGAATTAGAGCATGAAAGTTTCTAGTGACAAGAGATTTTTCTTTTATATATTTTCAATTTTTTATATAATTTATATAACTAATGACTATTTTAAACTATATTATAATTTATAAACAATATTAATAATACAAAAAGAGTATAAATATTAAAAAATAAATAAAAAATTATATAAATTCATTAACAAAAAAATATAAAAGAAAATTAGTTGCAATTTTAGTAATTAAAAATAAGAAAAAGTAAGAGTTTAAGTAAAAAGAAGTATTATAAAAAAGAAAATAATAATATAAACATAATTATAAATAATTATAATAAAAGAAATTAAGAGATAAAAAAAATAATTTTAACAAAAGTGAAAATGAAAATAAAATAAATATAAGAATAATTAGTTAAAATAATGAAATAAAAGTGTGATAGAAATATAAATGAGATAAATCAATAGTAAACATATAAGTTTAATAGTAAAAATACAAAAATAAATAAATTTAGTAAAACAATAAAACAAAATAAAACAAAAAGTATACAAAAATGTAATTATTATAATTTAGATATCAAAAAGATAATAATATATACTAAATATAATCATATAATAGGATATAATATAAAAATAACAGGACAAATTAATTTGATTATTATTGAGTTACTAAAGTTATATTAATTTTCTTTGTAATATATCTTAATTTTTGTTGAGCAAAAATTAAGTAATTACAAAATTTTTGATGAAAATGATATATCAAAATACTTGCTTTAAAATTGCATATAATTATTTCTTATAATAATAGTTGAAAGAATTTTCTCTGATATATGAAAAATGATATATCAAGTAATAATTATATATTATAAATATAAAATAATATTTTATTTTTATTAGATTAAATATTGAGTGACTTGAATCTATAACTCAAATTCATTCTTATTTTGTTGTCAATACTAAAGTTGAATTGAATTTTGTTAATGATAATTTATTTATTCAAGAATAATTTCATCAAATTTCATTTGTTATAGAAAATGATAATAATATATTTGATTAAGATATAAATTTTATTTTTGAAATAATAATAATTTGAATTTAGAAAATCAAAATTCTTAACTCTTGATATTAGTGAATTGATTGATTTTACAATAGATTTAAATGTAAATAGTGAAACTCAGTTTATAGTGATTATTAATTATGATAATAGAAAGTTTAATATTGATAATTTTATTGATTAATTTATTAGTATTTTTTTGTATTAAATAAATTTTGATTTTATCTATTATATTTGTTTATTTTGTTTATTATATTTGTCCATTTTGTCAATTTGACATTTGATCATTTGTCCAGTTTATTTATTTTGTTCATTGTATTTGTTCATTTTGTTCATTTGTTCATTTGTTCAATTTGTTCATTTGTGTATTATATTTGTTCATTTTGTCCATTTTGTCCATTTGTCCATTTGTTCAGTTTGTCTAGTTTGTTTGTCCAATATGAACTTTGGGTTTTTTCCATTTTGGATTTGTGTTTGTATGGCCACTTGACTAAAATGAATTTGGCCAGCAAGTATAGTTCAACCAACTAAATACGATCATCCTTTTTTAAAAGTCAAATCGTCATCCGTCGATGCATTGTAATCATACAGTGCTATCACATATTTGATGGCTGGTTTTGTGGGGGAGGGGGACGTGGCGACGATAATTTTTTGGGCTTGATGGTTGTGGCGAACGCTGACTTTGCATTGCTAGCTACTATTGTTAAAATTGTTATGAAGGCCGGCAACTCTGCTAGTGGTAGTACTACTTTAATTGTTGTTATTTATGTCTCTTGATGTATAATTAGTAGGCGAAGCTGTGTTCGGCGGTGACACGTCGTCTTCGTGGTCGTATTCTTCTATCTCGTCTAATAATTCTGTGCTGGCTGGTTATGCATATTTTCGAACTGCCTGATGATCGTTCAACTTGTAAGTCTGCTCGCAAGAACGAAGCAAAATATCAATTGAAACGCAAGCTATTTAAATACATAAAATATGCAATTACTCAAAATAATCCCCTATCCCTCTTACCACTATTACTATATTACGTCGTTCCTCATGTTTTGCTCGTCGTCCAAGCAGCGTCAATACTTTCATCTTTTCCTGAATATCCCCACGTCTCTCATCAAACCCGTTCATGCTATCAGAGTTCACATCAAAGTATCCGCTATCCACTAAACGGTCCATCCGGTCCAGCAAAAGACCATAGATTTTCAGTTGCATATGATAGAATTCCTCGAAAATAGGTTCAATGAATTGGTACGATATTCGAGAAATTGCGGAAGTACTTTTTTTAAAAGATCGTTGAAATAATTGTAGTCTTTTGTGGCCGTGTCAAGATATTCTTCCAACTTTTCGTTATTGGTCATTTATTTATTAGAAAGTCATTTAGAAATAAAAATCAGTAAGGTGCCATAAAAATACCTTGTACAAATTTCCCTCGTCACTTAACGATTTATCTCGTTTATCGCGAATTTTCCTCACGCTCGACCTATTTCGATACTCTTTAAGTGATATGCCTCCGATATTTACGAGTGAAAAAGGTGCTCCATTACATTAAAATAGCTTTTAAGAAACGGTGCTTTAATGATTGAAATGTCCTAATGCGATAATAAAATTTGATCTTGATTTTTTTGCAACATGTCTACTTGCATAGCATTATGTATTCTTGGGTTTCGTCCTAGCTCACAGGACTCATCAGTTGGCTTTCACATTTGAGCAATGCCAAGACCCGAGAAATCCATTAGGTATTTCTGGAGCCAATAATAAAAAATCACAATCAACACAATAAAAAATAATACACTTTTCTCTTTCGCTCCATGAATTTCCGTCGTTCTCAGCTCTCCTCAAGGGCTCTCTTCATACCAAGCTTTTCCGCAGCGTGGTGATGGGTTGTTCAACCGGCCCGCTTCCGCCGTTCTGAGTCTATTGCATAGAAAATAAACAAGTCGCGAGCGGCAAGCAACACGGCAAGCACAAGTTTTTACCACCCGTTCCGTTTCGTCCGTTCTAATCGTCAAACAAGTTGAGCACAACAAGCACAAGTTTTTTACCATCCGTTCTGTCCGTTTCGTCCGTTCTAATTGTCAAGCAAGTTAAGCACAACAAGCACAAGTTTATACCATTCGTCCTGTCCGTTTCGTCCGTTCTAATCGTCAAACAAGTTAAGCACAACAAGCACAAGTTTTTACCATCCGTTCTGTCCGTTTCGTCCGTTCTAATCGTTAAGCAAGTTAAGCACAAGCACAACAAGCACAAGTTTTTTACCATCTGTTCTGTCCGTTTCGTCCGTTCTAATTGTCAAGCAAGTTAAGCACAAGCACAACAAACACAAGTTTATACCATTCGTCCTGTCGTTTCGTCCGTTCTAATTGTCAAGCATGTCAAACAAGTTAAGCACAACACATTTTATACCATAGTGTCAAGTTCTAGTCCTAGTCCTAGTCCTAGTCCTAAAATGCTGTGTGTCGCGCATGTTGTGTATCGTAGGTTGTAGGTGAAAAGAAAATTATTTGTTTTTGCCGTGGTGGTGGTGGGTGGTTTTATATAACTTTCGACTAAATAAATAATTACAATATCGTACGTGTATCGATGACGATAATAGATCATTCTATAATATTTTTTTTATTATAACATTACAAAGCCAAAATACATTGCGTGGGAAGACATGGTTGGGGGTAATTAGTAAAATTCGCATGTTTGGGTCATATCGCTTTGACGCTGATAAGTATTGTCGGATCAAGCAAAAGAAGTATCGGTATGGTATTTTTTTGCTGTAATTGTTATACTTTTCGACCCATCTTTCTTGAACTTACCATACGTATTGGCGTAATACCCGCTTGAACACTTGTAATAAATTAGTAATCGATAACGTTCACTAATATATCATAATTGTGGCTTGCAGATCGCGAAAAAACCCATGTACTGTACATGTATAAATAATAATGACTAATTCAATAACGATAACCCAAACACGCGAATTTTTACTAGTTATCCCCAACCATGTCTTCACCTTAACTTCCCACGCAATGTATTTTGGCTTTGTGATGTTGTGATGTTATAATAAAAAAAATATTATGGAATGATCTATTATCGTTATCGTTATCGATACACGTACGATATTGTAATTATTATTTAGTCGAAAGTTATATAAAACCACCCACCACCACCACGGCAAAAACACATAATTTTCTTTTCACATACAACCCACGATACACAACATGCGCGACACACAGCATTTTAGGACTAGGACTAGGACTAGGACTAGGACTAGAACTAGAACTTGACATTATGGTATAAAATGTGTTGTGCTTAACTTGTTTGACATGCTTGACAATTAGAACGGACGAGACGGACAGAACGGATGGTAAAAAACTTGTGCTTGTGCTTAACTTGCTTGACAGTTAGAACGGACGAAACGGACAGGACGAATGGTAAAAACTTGTGCTTGTTGTGCTTAACTTGCTTGACGATTAGAATGGACGAAACGGAACGGGTGGTAAAAACTTGTGCTTATACTTATTGCTTGACAATTAGAACGGACGAAACGGACATAACGGATGGTAAAAAACTTGTGCTTGTTGTGCTTAACTTGCTTAACGATTAGAACGGATGAAACGGACAGAACGGATGGTAAAAAACTTGTGCTTGTTGTGCTTGTGTTTAACTTGCTTGACAATTAGAACGGACGAAACGGACAGAACGAATGGTAAAAACTTGTGCTTGTTGTGCTCAACTTGTTTGACGATTAGAACAGACGAAACGGAACGGGTGGTAAAAACTTGTGCTTGCCGTGTTGCTTGCCGCTCGCGACTTGTTTATTTTCTATGCAA